CAGCTCCGTCTAGAACCAGGGGTGAATGACAAGCTTTCTTAGAGTATTTGGGTTAACCCTTGAAAAGCTGTGCAGGTGTCCAGATAAATACGAAAGACTTGCAGTAAGAGGGAAGAGCTAGTTAAGGCAAGGTTCTATGAACGTTTGTGACATTTCTAGAGGACAGTGAGCAGGTCAAGGTAACACTGGTGATCTCATTAGCCAGGCTAGCCTGGGCAATCCTGTATTCTACTCTTGGGCATCTATAGCTTATTCTCAGAGAGGGAACTAACAAGGTGGCACATATGGAGAAAGGCAGTTGGCAATAAAGGACAAACAGTAAAAAAGGGGAAATGGAAGCAAAAAGAATTTATTTAAATATTAAGCAGGCATAATGACAAGAAAAGGTCAACCATTAATAAAAGGACACAAAAAAAGTGGAACCTATAAAAGATGGTAAAGTTTCTTATTCTGAGATCCTAGAGTATAACACAATTTTACACCTGTTGCTTCCACATGGTAAAATGTTCTTTCTGAAAGAGCACTGAGTTCTACAATAGTCTAGACAGAACATGCCTTCTGGATCAAAATGAGAAGTCCTATTTGACTTCAAAACGAGCTTCTGGAACAAACTTGTAAGGCTGGATCTGGCCAGCCAGGAGTAAAGCACCCTACTCCTGCATTTCACTACCAAGAATGACCAAGAGAAAGAGCGCACACCCTACCTTGATGGTCCTGTCCAAAGATGCACTGGCAAACTGATTGTTATCTTTGGGGTTTATCACAATCTGCATAACATAATGCGTGTGTCCTTCAAACACTTGTGAACAAGACCATTTTTTATCCCAGTCCCAGAGTTTAATAAGCATGTCATCTAAGCCAAAAGAAAGTTACGTCAGTTGCAATTTTTAAGAATATTACAGTAAGACAGCCTTTGCGTCTCCTAAGACAGCAAATATAACACAATTCACACAACCCATTATTAAGACATGGATCCAATACTAAAATGTCTTCAAATTCTTCATCCTAGAAACAAACTTAACTCTACATAGCAGTGATGAAACACATAAAATATACCAACAGATCAAATATAAAAAAAATGCTAACTCAGTGAACTTCAAAGAATGACAAGAGTACTAGAAATCTGACTACAGTATGACTGAATGACAGGAACGACTATGGGAAGAAGTGGCATTTGCACACATGAAATGAGTTTTACAAAAGCTCTCAGGTTTTACTCTTAAAACATTTCAAGGACCTCCTACCAACACAGAACTGCTCATTCTACCTGCCTTCCCCAAGGTGCACTGTTTTATAGGACACCAAGGAGAGCTGGTCTGAACAGAAAGACACACCCAACCAGGCTCTGTGGCAATCTGCCAACAACTCATCAGGATGCTAATGAGCTTTCTGTTCAGCAGATGTTTAAACATCTAGAACTTCAGGTTTTCCCTGACAGGAATTGCTATATAATCCTAAATACATATGCTATTTCATTAAAATACAAAAGTAAGCAGCATCAATAGCATAGCAATGGATCTAAATGTTTTAAAAGCTGCTTAGAATTTGAGTTCTACTTATAACAGAAGTTAAAGAATAGCACATCTCACTGGATGAAAATAAATTATCCAGAGATGCGCAGGATCAAAAGAGGTCATGTCTTACCACTGCTCGTCAGAATGAATGGCTGGGTTGGATGCACAGCAATACAGCGAATGTAGTCGGAGTGTGCCTCAAACATATGAACTCTCTCTAGGGTGTTGTAATTGAACACCCTAATCTGCATATCATCCTAGCAATGGAAAATTTAAAAGCATCACTGTTATGAAGTAAAAATGCATGAATATCTACATTATAGGCTCAAAAAAATAACATCCATGCTCCAAAACACTGTACCTAATTAATTAAACAAATGAGGAATAAAAATTCTGCAACTGAGCCGGGCATGGCAGCACACACCTTTAAAGCCAGCACTCAAGAGACAGAGGCAGGCAAATCTCTGTAAGATTTGGTCTACAAGCAAGTTCCAGGCAGCTGTGGGTCTATGAAGAAATAATATATAACCTCTGACCAATGCAGAGGACAGGATTTGACACTCAGTTACTTACTGCTCCTGTCACCACCCAGTTCTTCCTTGCAACAAACTTTGCAGCTCGAACAGGAAGATCGCACACTTCGAAGGTCTTCACCAGTGTCTTTAAAATTTAACAAGAATACACACATTGAGTTATGAGAAGACAACTGGAAAGTCCACTCTGTGAGATTTCAAATATCTAACCATTAGATCATCTCTCGTTAACAAATGTTCTCAGACTAAATAAAAGCTCAACATTAAAATGAAAAAAAAGTGGATCAATTATCTTTTAATAGATTTGAACATCGAATACATTTAAGAGAACCCAGATGCTCACAAGATGGTATTCCACTCTGTGCTCTGGCCCTTCCCTCTCTCTCTGGCATTACCTTTGGCTCCTCCTAGCCTCACCTCTGCCCCCAGCCCCTCCTCTTGGAGACACTACCCATGGAAACTTGTGCTCCCTTTCTTGTAACTCGGCACCTCAAGATTACATGCTTAATTTCAGTCATCTTCTCCTCTGTACACCTAGAACCTACATCAGTGGCTGGCATTCAGCTGCTGTGTGATAAGTATCTGCTCAGAATCAGCTCTTAGTTTCTTCTTTTTAAAACTGAGTCCATAGAAATAACTCAAACAAGGTAATTCTTTTGTACATCTTAGCGATACACTTCCCGATAAACACTACTTTTTTAAAGTAAGCATCATAGGTGATTCACATGTCCCTTTGAGGTGCTCAGAGGGCAATCACCTACGTAAGGTAAGGGTGGAAATCTGGACGTCTTCCTAGAAAGACCAGAGGTGAACATTTTCTTTGTCTTCTTCCTATTTTAATGGTTCTTTTTTAAAATTCTGAAAATCAAACTATCATACTT